TTTCATCTTTAGTCAATCCAATTACTAAGGTTTTTAATTTTAACTCTTTTAGGGATTGTTGGACTACTTTCGTTTGTTCTTTTCCTCCATCCACTATTATTAAGTCAGGAATTGTTTCGGACGAATATTTTCTATAATGAATAAGACAAGCCATTTTTATTCGCGACAAGTCGCTTTCTTGCTCAGTGTTGACTATTTTATATAATTTACTCTTGGTTAGGTTTTTTTCACCATTAGTAAAAGCCAAAAAGCCCGCTACTATGTCTTGTTTATAGAGATTTGAAATATCTAAACATTCAATATAATTAGGAATCGGGATAGACAAAAAAATCCCTATTTCTTTTAATATGCGACTTTTGTTTACTTGTTGGAATTGATTTCAATAGTTGTTTTGCCAAACTTGTTGAGCGTTTTTTTGAGCTAAATCAACAACTTCTTTCTTGCGACCCCTTTGAGGAAATTTTAAGTCAAATTTTAGTTCTTTTGCTAATAATTCGATTTCTGGTGATTTTTTCAGAGTGTAAAGAGTTTGAGGTGGCAAATTGTTTTGATAAAATTGATAAAGATAAGTTTCAATAATTTCTTCTTCATTATCTCAAATTGGAAAAGCAACTTGATCAGTAGCAACCAATTTCCCATAACGATAAATCAGAAGACAAAAGGCTAAGATGTTTTCTTTTTCATAGGTTCCTAAAAAGTCACAATTTTCTTTTTTGATAAATTCAATATTTTGCTTACTAGTAAAGAAGTCGATGCTATCTAAAATTTTTTTTTCCTTTTGGGCATTTTCAAAAGCTAAATTGGTAATATTTTTTTGCAAAGAGTTTTTAATTTTTTTTTTTATTTCTTGAGTTTGCCCTCGGAAAAATTTCCTAATTTCTTTTTTGGTGTTTTCATAGTAAGTTTGATCAATCTTTTTTCAACAGTGTCCTGAACATTGGTTGATGTGATAATAAAAACAAGGCTTACCTAAATTACCCTTGCATTTGGCTAGGGGAAATAATCTTTCTAATAATTGGAGAATTTCTCGGGCTTTACTTCCATCAGGAAAAGGACCATAATACTTATTAAGAATAGTAGGATTAATTTTTTGCACTACTTTATAACGAGGATTTCGTTCATTAGTTATTTCTAAATAAGGATAATAGTGACTATCTTTTAGAAGAACGTTAAAATGAGGTTGGTGTTTTTTAATTAAATTTTGTTCCAAAATCAGTGCTTCCTTGACATTTTTGGTAATGATAGTGCTAAAGTTATGAATTTGTTGATGAAAATAATTGTCAAACGAATTTTGAAAATAATTACTTACTCTTTTTTTTAGATTTTGAGCTTTGCCAACGTAAATAATGTTTCCGATTTTATTTTTGAGTAAATAGCAACCTGGTTGTTCAGGAGTTTTACTAAGCACTAATTGAAAAATATTTTTGTTATTTGGTTTTGAAAGCATTTTTTTTATTTTGTTTGAGAATAAGAATTTTTGTTGATGAAGGATGATAAAAAAATCAAAGAAAGTAACAAAAAGTTATAAAATATAATTAAGAGTAATAAAGATTATTAATTTAATTTGTTATTAAATACTCTATTTTGATTTTGAGGTTGTTGCTATGATGAAATTAATTAATTATATAAAACATTACAAAATATTAATTTACAAAATATAAATATTATGAATAGAGATACAAATATAAATACAAAATGATTTGGAAAAGGCGTTACAAAGTCGAAAAAAGAAAAAAAAGTAATTTTTTCAGTAGTTGGAACTGACAATTCTGAATTAGTAGCAATAAATAAATATTTAGATGAAGAAAGAGGGAGAAAAAAAGCTTTACAAGATGATAAAACGACGATAAATAGATTAAATAACACATCAGATAAAATAGCTGAATTAGCAGTACGCCAAGAAGTGATTGATAATATTGTGGCAACATTAAAAAGTAATGTTGCCACAATAGCTGTTCCAGCAGCTGATGAAATTAACGATTCCCCTGTAACTGATGCTGGTGGCGCAACCATTGCTAAAACTGGTCAAACGAAAAGCATTTTAGAAATATGAAAAGCTTTTGAAAAAAGGTACATTGGGAAGATCGGGGAGACTGGTCATGGTTGAAAAACAGCACTTAGATCTCTTAAAGATTTAAATATTAAAGACAACCTTTATAAATTCACTTTTAACGGTCAAACATATCAGACGAATGAAAGTACAGGAGCCGAGAGAATTGCTTATGAACTTTGCCACCAACTTGCTAAACTTGATGAATCTAAAGTTACTACAGATGGTACTGGTGCTAGAAGCATTCCTAGTACTTCTGATTTTTCAAAACTTGATGCCGCTATAGCAGCAGCTAAAACTACTGGCGAAATTAAGTCTGCTGGTGTTAGTACTGGTTGTTTTGAAACTACTTTAGGTGATATTACTTGATTAAATGATTTGAAAAGACTTTTAAGATTAGCTAAGGAGGTTGATCTAGAATTAACGAGAAGAACACCGAAACTTAACCCACAAGGAAATGCCCCTATCTCAAATTGAGGAGTTGAATACAGTGAATTTGCTGAAGGAAATTCTGCTGGATTTAATTTTGATAGTCTTCATAATTTAATCAGAAAATTATGACCACAAGGTGAAGACGGTGTTATTAACTTTCTTGATTCAAAATTAAGTGAAAATTGAGGTAATGAATTAAAATTTTCTGTCAAAAAAGTTGAAAAAATTTCCCAAGAAGCAAAAACAGATTTAATTAAAAAAGGTTATTTGCCTGAATTTTATAATGAAGATGGAATAGATGTTTATTGAAATCTTAAAAATGATGGTGAAGTTATTAAGTTTAATGGAATAAGAGGTTATTTTGAATTATACAACAGTTTTTTCGACAGGTTAGAAAATCGAACAAAGTTCACTAAAACTCGAGATTTTTCCAGAAAGTATGATGTTATGGTTGAACAACTTATTTATCAACGATTAGTCGCAAAAGATAAATGAACAGTTCTTGCGGGTAGGGATAACAATCATTATATAGCTAAAATTGAGAATAATTTTACTGGTGAAATTGAAAAATTTGCTATTAACTATAATGTTTATCAAACAATAGCATTTTATAAAGATTATTCACAAAGAACAAAAACCGGAAAGGAGACTTTAGAAAAGGGTGAATTGACTAAACAAAGTAGTGATAAAAATGAACACGATGAAAAAATTGCTAAAATAGATGCTAAAATAGGTGCAAAGGAATCAGAATATGTGAAGTTGCTTATTAAAGAAGCAAAAGAAAAGCAAAAAGCCGTTGAAACGCTGAAAACAGATTTAGTTGCTAATAATGTAGATTGAAATAAAAAAGAAATAATTTTAAAAGCAGCTAAGGTGGAAAAATATATTCTTGATATTTCCTGAATTCAAAGTGAAGGTCTTGATGGAAGTAAAGAAACTAAAGAAGATGAAAAAGGCAAAGACGGAGAATGTAGAAATCTAGGAATAACAGCAGACCAAGCTGAAAAAAATAATAATCTGCTTTTTAAAATTGAACAAGAAAGAATTAGGCTAGGTCAAGCTTGACATGTTATAATTAAAGGAAATTTTGACGAGGGAGGCACTAGTTTGGAAACAAGAATTGACAAAGCAAGAAAAGACGGTTCGAAAGGAGGCATAGGATTAGAAGTGTTTTTAGAATCTTTTCGATTTTTAAACGAAACAGCAACAGTAGGAGCGATTGAAGAAGAAATTTTAAAAGAAACAACTGCTTCAAACTCACCTAATTTAACAGCAGCAGATTTGAATAATATATTAGAAATTACGGATGCTACTGTTGATATGGCTAATGAATGAAGTGATTTTGGGAATGATGGTTGAGGAAAAGATAAGAATAACATTAAAAAATTAATTGAGAAATATAATACGGACGCAGCCAAGAAAAAATTGCTGCTTGAATATGTTGCAGGATTAACTGATGATAAATTTAAACCTGTTAGAGATTCTGCCGATGAAGAAGCTAAGTTTATTGCTTTCAAAAAGTTAAAACCAGAGCAAGTTATTAGAAGCATTTTAGAATATGAAAATAAAGCAGCTCTAGAAAATGATGGAGCAGAAAGAAGTGCAATTGTGGTAAGAATGAAAGAAACCGGAAAAACTGGTTATGATAATGATGACACCAAAAATTTTTTTAAACAAGATAGATATGGTAATCCTAATGAATCCAAAAGTTTAACTAAGGAGCAAATTTCCAACTTTCTTCTTGATGAAGAAACAAAAAATATTAATAAACAAGATAAAAGTTGGGCAGAACAAAAGGAAGGTACAAGAAATGGAAGAACAGATGGTGTTATGGCTCATCTCAAAAAGCATTGATATTGATATGCTTTGGCATTAATAGTAGGAATTATCTTGATAATAGTGATATTCTGAAAAAACCTTTCTGAGTGATGAAACGGTCCAGCAGAAGAAGGAAGTGAAATTGATAAAAATCAAGAAGAGGATAACGAATAAAAAAGAAAAATTATAGAGAATAAAACATTGTCTATCTTAATAGGTAGACAATGAAGATTAGTTAAAATTAAATTTGAAGTTTAAATATAAAAATAAAATATAATTTATGAGAAGACTGGTGGCAGTTATTTTAAAATAATTGAGGAAAGTCCGTACTCGCACTTACTGGAATTGTAAGTAGTTTTAGTGCGAGGTCTAATAAACCTCGGCGGGGCTTTTATTCTCCTTCCCGACGGCTAGCGAAATACTTAAGTGCTTTTGCATATAGTATTAGCCTATAAAAGTGCTATAGTGACGATTACTCGGGAAACCGAGGAAGTGAGACGTCGTAAACCCCACTAGCGAGCAATCCAAATTCTTTAAATTGGTAGGAGCATCAAAGAAAGAGAAAAAATAATCTCAATTGGTAATTCTCACAAGGAATTAAGACAGATCACTAGTTAAAAACAGAATACGGCTTATTCTTCTTGTTTTATTATATTAATTAAAAGAAAAAAGGCTTATGATAGGTTATTTTTCTTGGTTAGGAGGTGTAGTTCAATTGGTAGAACGTCAGTCTCCAAAACTGATTGTTATGGGTTCGAGTCCTGTCGCCTCTGCCAATTTTTACAAAAGGGTTTTTAAATTTTAAATAAAAATTCTCTTTTGTAAAAAGCAAGTTTTTAAAAAAAATTTCATTATTCTTATAGAGTTTGTAATTTATAGTTTGTTTTAACGAAATCTAAAAAATATTTAATTTATGTCTGAAAAAAAAAGTAAAAAGGAAGAGTACGGAGCGGAAAGCATTCAGGTTTTAGAAAATATTGAAGCGGTTCGCAAAAGACCAGGAATGTATATTGGCTCTACTGACGAGCAAGGATGACATCATTTAGCTTGAGAGGCAATTGATAATCCAGTTGATGAAGCTGTAGCTGGTTACTGTCAAAAAATTTGAATTACTCTCTCCGCTGACCAAACTACTATCACTATAGAAGATGATGGACGGGGTATTCCGATTGAAACTCATCCTAAAACTAAAATCAGTGTTTTAAGAACAATTTTTGAGGTTCTTCATTCGGGAGGTAAATTTGATAACAAGGCTTACAAAACTTCTGGAGGACTTCATGGGGTTGGAGTAACGGTAGTAAATGCTCTTTCTAAATACTTAAAGGTAGAAAGTAGTCGAGAAGGAAAAACCGAGAAAGTAATTTATGAAAGAGGGAAATTACTTTCCAATCAAATAATTGATACTCCTGTTAAAAGTAACGGCTTATTAGTCGAATTTACTCCTGATTCCGAAATTTTTAAAGATTTCACCTACTTTAAAGTTGAAACAATTCAAAGACGTTTAAAGGAATTAGCTTATTTAAACCCCAATCTCACTTTATGTTTTGCTACTTCTCCGACCACTGAGCCAATTATTTATCATTTTACTGGCGGTTTAAAAAGTTGAATTGAAGAACTTAATATTGGAAAGGAGAAAATAGGGGAAATTTTTCATAAGACAGTTGAAGAGGAAAAGTCCTCTGATTATTTTCAACTAAGCATAGCTTTTCAATACGATAGTGGTTACGATAAAAATAATGTTCGTTCATTTTGTAATAACATTCGGACTGGTGGAGGTGGTTCTCACGTTAGTGGTTTTGAAAGCGGTTTCTTTGAGGTTTGTAAAGAACTAATTACTAAAGAAAATTCTAATCTAGAAATTGAACCTAGTGATGTTCTAGTAGGATTAACTTCAGTGGTTGCTGTTCGCATTAAAGAGCCTGAATTTGCAGGACAAACTAAAGATCGCTTAGCTAATCGTGAAGTTCGGGAAAAAACTAAAAAAATTATTCAAGAATTAGTAAGTGCTTTCTTTCAAGATAATGCTACTACTGCTAAGATTATCAAGGAAAAAGTTATAGATAATGCTAAACTACGTTTGCATTTAAAGGAGGAGCAGGATATTTTTCAAGGAGGAAAAAAATCCCTTGATTTAATAAAAGTATTGTCGGGGTCGGAGGAAAATGATGAAATATTCTTCGTAGAAGGTAAATCAGCAGGGGGTAGTGCTGAGGAAGGTCGGGATGTAAAAACTCAAACTGTCTTGGCTCTTCAAGGTAAGCCACCTAACGCTTTGAAGTTAGTTCACCGCGTTCTTCAAAACAAGCAAATACACAATATTTTATTGGCTCTTGGTTTTGCTGATACTAAAGGACTTTTAAAGAATAATTATATTCGTTTTCGTCCTTGGCTAGAAAAGCAAATATTGGCTGAGGAATTAATTTTACCAGAAGATTTTGTTTATGATGAAGAAGGTGGGGAGAAAAAAATCATTCCGGCCGACAGTCAGCTTAATTTAGAACAAGTGTCCATTATTGTTCGCGAAACTTTAAAAAATTTGCTAAGTAAGTCCAATTTTAAGAAGATTATTATGATGGCTGACCCGGATGATGACGGGGCTCACATCGTTATCTTATTAGTGACTTTTATTTTTAAACACCTACCTTATTTAATTGAAGGAGGGAAAATATTTGTGGTAGTTCCTCCTCTTTATCGGGTGCAATCAAAAAAGCAAGTTCATTATTTTTATAACGATCAAGAATTAGAAGTTTATCGCCAAAATCATCCTCGTGAGGAAAGAAAAATTGAGCGCGTGAAAGGTTTGGGACAGATGGATGCTTCAGAGCTTTTTGAGAGTACCATGGATCCCAACCAACGGCGCTTATATAATGTAAGTATTACTAATTGGAAGGAGAATGAAGAAATAATTAAAGGGTTGATGGGTATCAAGAGCGATAAGCGCAAGGAATACTTAGAAAGACGAGATTATCGGGACGCCGCCTTAATTATCAGCGAAGATCAAAAAATTGAAATGAGCCATTTAGCTTTGGTTAATTTTCTTCGCTATGCCTATGCTGTTGTCGAGGATCGTGCTTTGCCCAACGTTCACGATGGTTTGAAACCTGTTCAGCGCCGACTTCTTTTTGCTTTTTGACAATTAGGAATCACCCCTAATAAAGGTGAAGTAACTTCGGCTAACATAGTAGGTAGAACAATGTCAGATTGACATCCTCATGGTGATCAAGGTATTTATAATGCCATGGCTAACATGGTAAGAGCCGACAAATTTCGTTATCCATTAGTTTATGGTCGAGGTAATTTTGGTTATGATAAAAATCCTCCCGCTGCGATGCGTTATACTAAGGTTAAATTAACCCCTTATGCACTTCACTTATTAGAAGATATATCTTATGGAGCTAATGACTGAAAAAATAACTATGATGATACTAAGGGAAAGGAAGAGCCAGTCATTTTGCCAACTAGTCTCCCTAACTTGCTATTGAATGGTTCTAGTGGTATTGCGGTAGGAATGACCTCTAATATTCCTCCTCATCATTTGGGAGGGACTTTAACAGCAGTAATTAATTTAATCCATAACCCCGATTTAATTTCCGTTCAAAAATTACAAGAAGAGTTCAATATCAAAAATCAGCAAATTATCGCTACTGATTTTAAAGAAAAGGAAGAAAAAGATATTATTTCTAAACAACTAAGCGAAGAATGAGTTAATAACTTACTTGAAGAAAGAAGAAAAATTGAGGAGGATATTCTGCAATTAAAAAAGAAAATCAATCAGGAATTAGTTAATGATTTACAGGGTCCCGATTTTCCTACCGGCGGTTATATTTTAGAAAAAGAAAAACTACCTAGTATTTATGAAAAAGGAGAAGGAACGATTTATTTGCGAGCCAAGGTGCAAATTTTTTCTCCTCAGGAAGTAAAAAGCGGTAAGGAAATAGAAGGAACCGAAAAGTTTGCTAAAAGCACAATTTGGATTACTGAATTGCCCTACAAAGTTATTAAGTCATCTTTAGTAGCTAGAATTGCTGAAATAATTAAAGACAAAAAAATCCCTGGTTTGAAAAAAGTTTTTGATTATTCTAACCGCGGAATTACTGATATTCGGATTGAATTCGATTCTCAACAATACGATGGACAAGTAATTCTTAATAAGTTATACAAAAACAGTCAATTACAAATTAGTTTTGCTGTCAAAATGCGAGCATTAGTAGGAGAAAATCCCAAAATATTTTCTTTGGCTGAAGTTTTTCAAGCATTTATCAGCAACCGTTTAGAAAACATTCGTCGCAAATCTCAATTCTTGTGAAAGGAAAATGAAAAGTCGTTAGTTAGTTTAAACACCCGGATTTTTATTATCAATAATTACCAACAAATTGCCGAAATAATTAAGGGTTACCCAACTGAGGAAGAAAGAAATGAGCAGTTGAAGCAAAAATTTTTGGAAATTAAGCAGAAACAAATTAAGATTGAAAACATTTTAAGCATGTCAATTAGTTTTCGTCAATTTACTCCGGAAAAACAAACTGACTTGGCCAAGGAAATTATTAATTTAAAAACCGAAAATGAAACTTTGGAACAATTAATTGCCAGCGAAGAAAAGCGAAAAGAGAAATTAATTGCCGATTTAGAACAATTGAAAAAAGATTATGAAAAGGATGTTCGCCGCACTAAAATCATTTCTGATTCTCACTTGATTGATGAAAGGAAAGCAATTACTCCTGAGGAAGTAATTATTATTCTTAGTCAAGGAGAAAGAAAAAAATCTAAGACGGAAGCAAAAGAGATTAAAATAGATAGTTATTTAAATATTTATAAAACTAATTCTTTAGACTCTACTAACATTCCTAGCGTTGGGAAAGAATTAAAAACTCGTGGAGAAAACTTAGTCATCATCAAGTCTAATCGACGGGATGATTTATGATGTTTTTCTAATTTAGGAAAACTTTATATTATTCCAGTTTATAAGTTGGTTGATAAAAGCGTTAACCTAAAAGAAAGCGGAATGTTAAAATTGGATTCAGGGGAAATTATTAAATATATTATTTCTGTTCGTGAAGACTTTTTAATTGATCAAAATAAAGAAGAAAAATATTTAGTAATTGGGACTAAAAAAGGAAAAATTAAACGTTTGCCTTTGGAGAAAATTGGTAAGGTGATGAGAGGAGGAAAAAAAGTGATTAATATAGTTAAATATCGTGATGAAATTAGTCAGATAGCATTTACTTCTGGTGGCGATGATATAATGGTGTTTACTAAACAAGGAAAAAATAAGAATTTTTCTGAAGAAAAAGTCCGAATAGTTGGCCGGGGCGCTTATGGCGATACAGCTATCAAATTGGAAGAAAGTGGTCGGAAAATTCGTTGTCTTCAGCATCGAACTCTTCTAGAACAACATAAGTTTTCTTCTTGTTGTGACAAAAGTCAATTGGGTGCTTTCCTACGTTGTCCTCGCGGAAAGGAAATAAATCAAGAAGTAAAAAATTGCTCAGAATGTAATAAGATAATCCCTACTACTACTGAACAAATAAAGGATGAAATGATTAGTTTATTAGTAATGAAAAAAGAATTCCCGAATGACGAATTTAGTTTATTAGCCATTCGGGAGGATAAGACGGGGGTGAAAAAAAATCTTTTATCAGTTTTTGAATTAACTAAAAAGCGCGGCGGTAAAGGAAAAAGAAAATTCCGAGTGGAAGAAAAGAAAGTTTCTAAATATTGTGACAAGCACGAAAGCTCGATTAATAAGTTAAAAGAGAGTTGAGAAGGTTTTGGG